AAATTTAGGTTGTTTAATGATACTGTGGCTGAGTAGCTGTTGTATTCAGGGTGGACTGGGGTAGGAACGGTGTGGCTGCAGTGGCTCACCATCCTTGCCCTGCCTGCCTGCCCTCGGAGCGAAAGCAGAACAGGCGCTGGCGTGCCAGCCCGGGCTTTGATGTTTGGGTGTGGGTTTGGCCCCACACCAGCTCACCGGTCGGGTGTGGGCGGTGATGGTTTTTCCTGCCAGGGGATGTGTGAGGTGGAGGCGTCCCATGTCGCCGACGTGGTGTGGCCGTGGAAGATGGCCTTGTGAGCGAGTGAGCGGTAGGATTTACGTGGCACACTGAAGAACCAGTAAACAAAAACTTTCCTACACGGGTAGCAGGCACTTCTGTGAATTTTTTTATGGACCGTGTTAGCTACTGTTTATGAAATTTAATTTCAAACTGCTTTCTGCTGCGCTCTGTCCTTCCCACATCTGCTGTTCTAACACCAGCAACTATTGATTATTTTTTTTATCTTGTCTCTTTTTTCACGTTTCTTCTTGTTCTGCCACATGTTGCATGGTTCAATTCAGACTGCAAGTTAATCAGAAATAAACATGAAAATCAATATAGAATTTATTTGTGTTAGATTTTGTAAAGGCTTTTGTTTAGCAAATATATAGTTGACCCAACTTAATTTTAGAGTGCTCCTGCTATTAAACTGAAGGCATAAATTAAATCATATTAAACCAACTTGATAATAGAGTAAAGCAGATATAAGGCTTTTGCTCCAGCTCCCTGTGATGTTTGTCATAAACACACAGGATTATGGATTCAGTGGAAGTCTGTAGTGAGGATGCTCCCTTGCTGAGAAAGGAGGTTTTCTTCTGTGCTTTGCTGTCAAATCACAGTAATATTGAATTGGGCACTATAAGATCTGTTCTGAATCCATGTTTGTAAATATTCCATCATCCCTGTCATTGCTGAAACTTAGAGCAAATACTATTTTTACAGAAGGTGCCAAGCTGGGAAGAGCTGCAAGCATCTGAGAGCGCAGAATTCAGGCCTTTCATGGCAAGTTGGAGAACCAAGGTGAAATAAGATGCAGTTCAGAATGGAAGCAACAAAGGTAGAAATAATTCCTCCACTAAGGTAGAAATAATTAACTACGCAAATAAAAGATAAGGGAGAGTTCAAGGGATTATTTTTAGGTTAAAATGCACCTCAGGAGTCTAAGTATCATTAATTATAAAAAGAGCAAATAGCATACTGGAAAGTACAAATTGAACAGGGCCTGAAAGGGCTGTGAATTGACCAATCTTCTCTGAGGTGCTACTAGTGCTGAGAAGTATTATGGGCAGAGAAATACTACTGTTGTAGTAGTACTGGGTCCCTCACATTAGACTGCAATTTGAAAAGCTCCCCAGGGAGGGCAGTGAAAATTATTTGAGCTGTAGGAGGAAAGACAGAAAGTATTAGATACGTTCTAGAATAAGGGAGGGGAAGGACCAGAGGGAGACCAGATATAAGTCTTGAGGTATGGTAATAGGTGTTTGTGCATGGTTATACACGTGAAGGAGGATGGTAATGCTCTTGTGTTTCAAATCCACCATGGACAGAACTGGATATAACACTCCTAAATAGGAGCGTTATATATATATCTCTCCACAAAGATATATAAATATATCTCTCCACAAAGGAGCTGTGGGTGAGAAAACTCTGCAAGGAAGAGGTAACAGAGCTGTGGGATGGATTGTAAAGGAGCTCTGTAAATTTCTGTATTGTTGATGGGTCCGACCAGGTAGGCATCGGTGAAGAATATTTGCATTTGGTTGATCCTTCTGTAGAGGCAGAGTATGCAGCTTCTTGAAGGCCTTCCTAGTCTATTCATACTTGTTCCTCTGCTAAGGATGATAGTGCCATCCACTGCCTTGGCCTAGGAAGGTGTATACTAAGGCAGTAGACTAACTGCACGTAGATCACTCTACAATCCACGATGGTTTGCAGTAGTTCAAAATGGTCTTTGGTAGAATGATTTATAGAAGAAAATAATGGTCTTTGCTTGTCATATAAATGCCAAGACAAAATGACACATTTTCTGAGTAGGAGGCCCACTTAGAAATATTGTCTATTACAATTACTCTATTGTTGCTGCTGAGTGGTAGAAAAGTTAAATGTCATGATCGACTGCTTTGATGGTAGTAAGTGCCAGAATTAGAACAGGTCACGGTAGGTGCTCACTGTGTTGTTGAATTGTATGTTAGTACTTCCTACCAACTGGCTTCTGCATTGTTCAAGCATGTAGATGGATGGTGTTCAAGAACAATGCAGTTACTCAATATTTAATTTTACTTTCAAGCATTTTTCGTCCCAGGCCTCATTTATTACATGGCATAGAATTGCAGAAGTGTTGTTTCGGAGAGATGTCTAGAGGATGCCTTCCCTAATTCCTTTGCAAAGCCAATTCTTCATCAAATCAACCATCGCTTTGCTGAACGCTGAAAAACTCCAAGGGTGGAGATCCCACTGCCCATGGTAACCTGTTTCAGTGCTGCAGCTGTACCTTCTTGGTGAAAAAGATTCTGCTGATGCCTGTCATGATGCTTTTCTGCCTTCCTGTGGCATCAGTGGGGCCAGTGTTAGAGCATCTGCTTTATGGTCATTACTGCATTTGCCTTCATAACTGCTTGCATTAATAGTACTGCCATATCACCCACGAGGACTGGAGGAACTGCGGTTATGAACGTGTGCTGTTTTGGCAGTAGTATTGTACTGAATCTGAGAGGTGTGGGAATTTAGCATTTACAAGTGTAATGCACAAGTAATTTTTACAACAGTTTGAACAGGCCAGTCACATCCATGAACAGCCTTGGAAATTGTGATTAAAAGGGTTGTACTCCAGAGACATGCGGTGGATCAGTGGAAGATTTGGGACTAATGTTTAAGGGTTCCCAATTCCCTTGTGGCGAGTTGACCTTGGCTGACTGCCAGGTGCCCACCAACCTGCTCCATCACTCCCCCCCGCCTCAACAGGACAGGGGGAGAAAATATGACAAAGCTCGTGGGTCAAGGTAAGGACTGGGAATTCACTTACCAATTACCATCACAGGCAATACAGACTTGACTTTGGGAAATTAATTTAATTTCTTGCCGATCAATAACAGACGAGAATAATGAGAAATAAGAACTAATGTAAAAACACCTTCCTGTCACCTCTCCCTTTTCCCCAGCTTCACTTCCAACTTCTCTGCCTCCTTCCCGCAAGCAGCACAGGGGGATGGGGAATGGGGGTTGCAGGCAATTTAAAACATGTTGTCTCTGCTGCTTCTGCTTCGTCCTCACACTCTTCCTGTGCTCCAGCGTGGGGTGTCTCCACGCGGAAGTAGTCTTTTCTGAACTTGTCCAATGTGGGTCTTTCCCAGTCCTTCACAAACTGCTCCAGCTTGGGTCCTTTCCATGGGGTCCACTCCTTCAGGAACTGACTGCTCAAGCATGGGTCATCTGTGGGGTGGGTCACAAGTCTTGCCGGAAGACCTGCTCCAGTGTGGGTTTTCCAAGGGGTCATGGCCTCCTTCGGGCATCCACCTGCTCTGGCATGGGGTCCTCCACCCCATGCAGGTGGATATCTGCTCCACTGTGGACCTCCATGGGCTGCAGGGGGACAGCCTCCTTCACTATGGTCTTCACCACGGGCTGCAGGGGAACCTCTGCTCTGGCACCTGGAGCACGTCTTTCCCCTCCTTCTCCACTGACCTTGGTGTCTGCAGAGCTGTTGCTCCCACATATTCTCACTCCTCTTCTCCAGCTGCTGTTGTACAGTGAGTTTTTTACCCTTTCTTAAATACATTATCTCAGAGGTGCCACCAGCATTGCTGATGGGCTCAGCTTTGGTAAGCAGCAGAGCCGTGATCTGGCACTGGCTCTGTCTGAAATGGGGTAGCATCTGGCATTTTCTTACAGAAGCCACCCCTACAGTCTCCCCCACTACCAAAACCTTGCCAGGTAAACCCAGTACACCCCTGCTCTTCCAGAATATGCCATTTTACACATTTTGTAATTTTGGTTTAGTTTAAAACATCACGACCTCAGTTTGCAGCAAATTAAGTGTATACAATTAATGGCTACTTCCCAGAAGCAGTTTATTCAATTTGATTTATCTGTCTGCTGAAGAGCTGCTGAACAGATTGCGTGAAACAATGAATAGATGTAGTTTCTCTTGAGTTGCCTTACAACTAAATGACAGCAAGTTGTTCAGCATTTATTTATTTAGCAGCTTTCTTCCCCTGTAGCCTCCAGCTGAAGCCTTATTCTTTGCTTCTCCAAGTAGTGAAAAGCAGTCTTTCAAAGTGTGTGAAACTGCAATCTTTGATTTCTCTTTTCTTACCCCCCTCCTTCCACCTCATTCAGTAGCCTGTATAAGGAAAACTCTGGGAGATTATTTTTATCATTAAAACGTGTTCAGTTCAGTTTCTGGTCATAATACTGACAAGCTTTCATTCTGGCCTTTGGACTTTCATCAGACTTGTGCTAAAAGATGTCATAGATGAAACCAACTGACTACACAATTGAAACTATTGAAAATATGTGTACATACAGTATTAAAAGGAAGTGGGAGTCTGACCTTCTTTTAATTTTAATTTATCCTGATTTTATGTCAGTTCCAAGAGTTGTGGATTCAAAAATGAATTTAAGGAATGTAATTTTGCTGTTGATACCTTTTTTTTTTTTACAGTACTTTAGGCAGTATACTCCTCCACCCCCCTTCAGGGTTCAGAAGTTTCCATGTACATTTACATTGACTTGTGTCTCACACCTAGTAAGATCTTGATTACCCATTGGTGACTGTACTGTACTGGTCAGTACCAGCCATTCATTTGAATTTAGAAACCTTTCAAAATCAGGCTTGAAAAACCTATTTTGACTTAAAGTAACATAAATCTGTTATCTGGCAGAGGCATTGCAGACATTTCTCGTTCTACTGCTTTTCTGAAAGGGTCTTCACTGCCATGGAAAACATTATCTTGTTTTTCAGATGACTACTTTGGGCAACCTGACACCCTCAAGCACTGTGTTCTTCTGTTGTGATATGCAAGAGCGATTCCGGCCTGCCATCAAGTACTTTGGTGATATCATCAGTGTGGGCCAACGACTGGTACAGTTTTTGCTTTTCTTCTTGTAATGAGTTTTGATCACACATGTTACACAACCAGTTTACTGGTTATTCAGTTTCAAGTAGTAACAGTGTGTTTGCTATTATTGTTCATCAATAATCTTTTTTTTTTCTTTTGTATTCTTTTCTCCATGCTTCCTTGCAGCTCCAAGGTGCACGGCTCTTAGGAATTCCAGTTATTGTAACTGAGCAGTATCCCAAAGGTCTTGGCAGCACTGTGCAAGAAATTGATTTAACAGGAGCTAAACTGGTGCTTCCCAAAACAAAATTTTCAATGGTGTTGCCAGAAGTTGAAGCAGCACTAGCAGAGATTCCTGGAGTCCGCAGCGTTGTCCTATTTGGAGTAGAGGTATGTGCCTTGCCATTCTCATACTGTTTTATGGTCATGTCTGTTGTCCCACAAGAGCATTAAGCATTGCTTTCTGTAATTAAAAAAAAGTCAATTTATATTACTTAGAGCTCAGCTATCCTCTACAGATTAAATTATTCTTGTGTTATTTGTCTTTGATATTATCTCGTAATAAAATTTGAAATCAGATATTTGTAAACTGTGGGCAGTTGTCTAAAGCTTGGTTGGCATTAAAACCCACACTGAGTTCCCTAGTAATGTCAGGGGTAGAAAAATGCATGTTTGAACCCTAATTAATTATGTACTCTAATGTGACGTTGTGCTGCTCATGTTTTATCATAATGGTTTGTTGGTGGGGTTTTTGCCTTTGATTTCTCCTCTAGACTCATGTCTGCATCCAGCAAACAGCATTGGAACTAATCGGCAGAGGTCTGGAAGTTCATATCGTAGCTGATGCCACCTCATCAAGAAGCATGATGGATAGAATGTTTGCTCTTGAGGTAAGTTTCTTAGTCGAGGCTTTCTCCACCTTGGGTCTGTGTGTTAATTTCCCTGCTTATTGTAAGCTAATGAGGAATTTCTAAGGGCAATAAGCAGTGGACAAACGTAGACTTGAGAAAAGGTGAATGCTCTGGTTCTCAGAATAGCTTCCAGGATGGAGAAGGATTACTGCCTTATTTTTCCTCCCTTAATCATGCTTTAATATGTGGAACCCAGTTTGGGCCACTTGGATTTTAAAAGTGATTGTTTCATGCAATCTAGGTTACTCTGTATAACCGTTGGCATTTTAGGATCTTTTCTTATGGAGTGTTACCTGTACAGTAGAGTAAAAGTGCTACAGAACTTTTGGTTTTGTTGTTCCAAACAGTATTTGTTCTGCTGTTGAAATTCCTTGAAATGCAGCAGAATATAGTAAGTGATCCTGTTCAAAGCTCCTTCTTGTGTGTCTGTCCCTCCCTCTGCTCTTTCCCATCAGTGCAAATTAAAGCTTAATCTCAAGACTTTCTGATTATAGTAAAGACTTCCCCCCACCGCTTCTAGGAGCTTAATCTAACTAAATGTTGAGAAAGTGGAGATAAATGTAACAAGAAGATTTAAAAGCACGTACAACTATGTGGTAGCAAATTCATGCAAACAATTTTTAGATAGTGTACTGTAACTTGCCTACAGGCATCACTGTTGGAAATAAAAAACTGATATACTTACTAAGTATTGCAATTTTGCCTCAGGTCCTAACAATTATTTGGAAATTGAAACTAATAATAACTATAGCGTTTTATACTTCTTTTCATAGATTTGGAGAACACTTAATTTCTTCTGTTTCTCATGAATAAGAGAATTAAAGGCAAAAGGGAAATAACGAGCATATAGCATTTGATGAAACCCATGACTTTGATTAACTGGAAGCTTAATGTTGTCTGCCACATAAAGAATAGTGATGCACACAGAGTGCAGGAATGACTGAAATCATGGACTTTCCAAGTCAATGTGCTGCAGCAGCAGTAGTAGACAGAACAAGTATAGAAAAACTGAAATCTATTTACCTTATTGTGTATCCCTTTGTACATTTGATTATCACTTTCACTGTGTCTGCAAGCGTAGAAGTTGGTTCAGTGTAAGAGAGATTAAAACAGTGACTAGTTAACATTGCTTTTCCTTCTCATCAAAAAGGTATCAATCATCCTAAGTGTGGTTGGTTGCAAAAGCTGTAATCCCGGCAAACTGGTCAATTTTGGGTAACTTCATAGTATGTCTTTGCAAAGTTTTCTCACTAAGCACAAAATAAATGTTTTGCTGTGGTCCCTTAAGTAGTCCTCATTAAAATACCAGTCAGGGAACGTTTGCTGGCTTGCTTGTGATGAGCCAGCCGGTTATATGGCAGTAACTCCTCCTCCTCTGTGGCTGCAGATGCCAACATTGTCTCCTTGCTGTGCTGTAGAGCCTCTCTTAAAAATGCTACCGAGGGCTGTGGGCTAGAGCAGGCAAGAGGTGGGCATGCTTGGGAGCAGGAGACCAGGAGAAAGGGACATATGTACTGGGCATGTCAGTAATCCTGATTGACCATGGTGGTATGTTTCTTAGGGAATTTGGTAAAATACCAAAGCACTGGGTAATCCTGCTTCAGTCTCACTGTACAACTGACAGTTCCTAGTTATGCTCTTCTAATTAGTGAGTCTGACATTTGTCTCTTGTGCAAACTTGCTCCATACCTGATGAGCTGAGGTTCATTGATCCAGGTTACCTGGATCCTTCTCCTTACATTTCTGGGAAGATGGGTGTAGTATTTACCTTTTCCCAGTAATACAGCCCTTCTCTGTTCACAGTGACCTTTCAAGGATGATAAAGAGTGACCTTGCAATAATAACAGCCAGCTTCCTCAGCAACCTCAAATAAATCCCATCTGGTCCCACCTGCCCCTTCAGTTCTCCACATTTCCCCTCACACAGCATGTGTTTTGATGGTGCTGGTGATGAACGTGCAAATACTTCCTAGTATACTAGGAAGTACACCTTGAATTAATGATAGCCAAACCTTTCATGTCTGCCTGGATGACCCTAAAGAGTTGTTGTCTCTGGTTCTGTTGTGTGCTTAAAAATGACAGCAGGCAAAAAATTGCAATAAAAAAATGCCAGAAACCAAAGAACCTCAACATTTCCATTCATTAAATAATTCATCCCAACTGGCCAAGGTTGTGGCTGTTCTTAATCTCTGCCTTATCTGATGAAGATGCCATGTGTCACTGCCTGGTCTCATATTGAGCCAGCTTAGTCTGTTCCTGCTGGATTTCTTTTCTGTTCTATATCTGTTCTACTTGTTCCTGTGGTGCGGATGCAACACATACTTGCTGCTTTCCTTTGTCTGGAAGACTGTTCTAAGGAAACTTCTGTTCCTTGAAAATTATCCAGTATGCTTAGCACATGCATCTCTTCATTCCTACTAATCTCAAAACTGTATAAATTATACTTAGTCCTAGAAATAGAGTATAAGCCAACGCCAGCCTCTTTGACATGCTGTGGTATGTTTTTCTTCTAAAGAGAAGACATTCTCTTTCTTCAGTTGACATTTCTCAGAAGGCAAAGTTATTTAACAGTCTGTTTTTTCTCCCACCCCTACTAGGTGAAAGCAAAACCTTTGTATTCCTGGAGAAGTACATCTTCTTGAAAGCATTGCCATAATATTTCATTTTGATCTTCCTATTTTTCTCTTTTGTATGTGTACGTGGTTTAAACAAATGTGTCCTTGTACAGAATAGGAGATCTGGGGAAGCTGTCTGCTTTGTTTCAACTTAAGAATATCACAAGGCTTGCTGCCATTATTGCAAGCAGGAAGCATTGACTTAAGTAATGTAGCCTAGCTAGTTTATCATTATATAGACTGTAGCTACATATACTTGTCCCCTAAAATTAAGAACATCCCCCTATTAACTGGTTTGTAGTTGAACAGCTAAACAGCAGTGATCCATGTCTGACGTAGAAAGTTCGGAGTGTCTCTTTAGTAATTACAGTTGAAACCTGTCTGAAGGCTGTATGTATTTTCTGCCTCTTGCCCTGCCCTGGTTCATTCAGGACCCCATTAGATTTGGTGGAGCACGCAGCTGAGTAGAGGATGATGGAGGGAAAGCTAGATCCGTGAAGAGCTTTACTGCCAAAGCATCTGTATGATTGCTGGGAAGCTGATGGGGAGCAGTGCGTGGTCAGCCTTTAGTAAAAGGAAACTTTGCTACGTAGGGAACAGCCACAGTCTTAAAAGCCCACAAACTTTGCAATCAGTCCTGTGGCTTGGGCTACATGGAGTTTTGGGTGCTTACAAGATCTAGTCTTTTAGTTTTGCTTTCTATGCAGCAACGCTTGTTATTCTGTAGCCTGTGAGAACTAAGTCGGGACTTACTTCGGCTGTAATGAGATCTTGGTTAAAAGGAGCTGCTGTTGTGCCAGTATGATTTATAAGGTCTGTAGAAGAGCTTTTTGTTCTGTTTCCCGAGATTATTAGTACTAGTGTGCTGGGTAGTCCAAAGACTGAATTACTAGTACATAACAAGCCCTGACAGAGAAATTGTTACGGTTAAGTTTCTTGCTTAATGCCTTTAGCTTGGACCTCGCTGTTTTCTTTTTCCCTAGGCCTTTCAAACCTGCATGAGAATGAAGGAAGCTATCCTCGGGACCATGCAAGGCAAAAGGCTTGTTGATATAAGAGGGGGTGGGTCTTGTCAGATTTAATACGCACATGGGAAAGAACCCAGCCCAAGTAGGAAGCCTTATTTGTAATCCAGGGCAGCCTCTTTCCGCAGTAAAGCCTAAAAACAGTGACTTTCCATCCTAGCTTTATAAATGGTGCTGCTAAGAAATGCTGGAACAGAATAGGCAATGCTTTTGTTAATAGGATATGTTTTTAAAAATACCTTTTACAAAATGTATACTCATTCGCATTTGCAAATATCTCACATAATTCTCTCTGCTCTTTTCTCTTTCAGCGTCTTGCTCGTACTGGAATTATAGTTACTACTAGTGAAGCGATATTGCTGCAGCTGGTAGCTGATAAAGAACATCCAAAATTCAAGGAAATCCAAAATCTCATTAAGGCGAGTGCCCCTGAGTCAGGGCTCCTTTCCAAAGTTTAAAGAGGATGTGGAGGAAGCTTATCTAATTGTCATCTTTAAGGAGGAAGGGAAGCTGTAAGCGCATATGTACACCTTCTTTCACTCAAAGTTTGGTAGAAGTGTAAAATTAAAAATTGGCATACTCGTGCTTGCCTTAGCAAAATTGTCTGGTTATACATCTGGGTGCCAGTATGTTCTGTTTAGTTATAGCTGTCAGAGCCTTTGGGTACTGTAGGACCCTTTTGTTGTCAAATTTCCTTATTTATTTAAAAAACAAAAATTGGCAGAGGTGCCTGCTGGTCTATACTGTACACTGATTGTAACAGCTCCAAGAAGTGCATATTTCTGTGACACCTCTTGATTGTGCACTTTGTAAAAGCGTTCTGTGATATTCTGTTTTACTTTTGTATTAATAGAAAATGATTAAACATTGGATAAATGTGATGTGATACTCTTTAATGTTCTATGTAAATGAAGTCTTTTAATAGGACATAAGTTAAAACCGAGCAAGACATATGGACTACATGTGCGCTTTTGTTCTCTAGGATAAAATACAAGCGCTTTGCTTCGTAGGCAAGACACATAGATCAAGCAGCAGCTGATGCTTGATTGCTCTAGGTAGCTGAAGCCTGCTTCATGACTTTCAATTACTCTGAAATTGACCATCCAACCCTGTATTTCACTTAAGTGCACACAAACAGAAAACTGTCATTAAATGAGTTTTTTATAAGCAACTGGTATAAAGTCCTTCAGAACTTGCAGAAGATTACCAAAACTTTAAATAAATTGGCAGTGCTAAGGTGGTTAATGAACAAAAGCTTTTCAGCTTCAAGTGCTGAATCTACTACTATATTTAGATTTATTTTGGGGTTTTTTACCTCACTTTAGTTAGACTGAATAATACCATCAGATTTACATATTTGGACAAATGAGCTCTGAAAGAAACCTCAGCTTTCTTAGGTTTTTGCGCTTTTTTCTGGGCTGCATTTGGGTGGAGTTTGAATGCAATCTGGCCTAAAAGCATTCTTCAGAAAAATAGCATCTTTAACTTAATTATATATATTTTTGCTATCTAGAATCGATCTTTTAAATTATGAGTATTCATAAAGGCACTTCCTTCATGTTCCAGTGGTTTAAACAATGTTGTATAAAGTTTACAGTGTGACTGAGACATTTATTTTTTTAAGAGTACTAGAAGATGTCATACTGAACACTGATCTTTTTGGTGGAAAACCGATTAGAGTACATATATTGTTTTAAATTGTTTATTTTCCCCACAAGATGGCTCTAAAAGAACTATTTCAGAAAGTTATAACCTTTATATGTTCAAAACAAATAAAATGTTAACATTTGCTGTCTCTCTTAGCTTGTGATATTTATTGAAGAGCAAATCCGGAAAGCTGTGTTTGCCATGGACCTTATTCTGTTTTGTGCAGCTGTGGAATTTCTACAGATGTCATGGGAATTTTGTGTAAAGATCAAGGATGGATAATGTCTAATAATTCTTGTCTTCTGCATCTAGTTAGAGTGTTATTTAGTGCTCCAAGATTTGAGGAATGAAGGTTGTGCCTCAAGTTGGAGGCAGGGAGGCGAGTTGAGTTGAAGAACCATTGTCCTATACCACTGACCTGCTTTTAACCTTCTTTTCTGGTATATTAATCATGTTGTCTAGCAGTATGAAGTCCACTTATATAAATCAACAGGTGTGCACAAAAATACTATAAATTTCTTAGGAAGTAATGGTTTTATTGCTTTCTTACCTCTATTGATGGCACCTAGAGATAGTAATTGCAGGAAAAATTATAACAGGTTTTTTACACATTTATATTTGGAGTAATTTCCTCAGTAACAAATACATGGGTTTTTAAGAGTTAATTGTATTTGTTACTAAAAATTTACCATTTTTATACAAAATGAAGTTGAAGGACAGATGTCACAAGTTACTTTGCACGCAGTTATTTCCTGACTAAGGTTTTTACCACAAGGGGAGTCATTTGGTAGCAAGCCGGAAGTAGAGAAGAATCTATAAAATACATTTTAAAGCAGCTAAATGTGTATTTCCACTGTCTGGACAGAACTACCTGAGGTGAGACACATTTGGTGGCCCCTTCCCATCTCGTGCAT